GGGGGGGGGGGGGGGGGGGGGGGGGGGGGGGGGGGGGGGGGGGGGGGGGGGGGGGGGACGACAAAACAAAACCCAAGGCTGGGTGATTCTATGGCAGCCCCACTGTAAGTCAGTCCTGCAGGGCCCTAGCTGATCCCCAGCCATAGCTATCAAGTCCCACCTCAGTGCCTGTGGGCATGCTGAGTTCCTCCCTCACTTCCTTCCACTCTGTGTTTAACTGTCACCTCCTTGGAGGGCTGTCTCTGGCCTCTGACACTGCTCTGTCTCTTCCCTGGCTTTCCTGCTAGAAGGCAGGAGACCATGTCTGGGAGGGGTGGGACGGAGTCCTGAGGACACGGGTTACATAGGGCAGGCTTTGCAGTTAAGCCCCGACTCGTAAGTGACCTCTGTGCCTGTTTCCTCATCAGTCAAACTGCTTCAGTAACAGCACTTGACTTGCAGGTTGTCCTGAGGGGCCTGTGGAGGACAGGTGCTTGAGAGCGGCTGACTCAGAGGCCCCCGGGGATTCCACCTGGAAGGGCATGCAGAAAGGCAAGGAAGGCAGGGAGTGGGATAACTCATGAAGCTGTCCCCCACCTTGTGGCTGAGAAGTGGGCTGTCCAGTCCTGTCACACAGCCCTCTTGCTATCGCAGTTTTATCAGTGACAAAGGGAACAAAGGTTTCAATGTCACTAAGAGGTTTATGTCATTGGAAATGGAGCCTCGGGTGTCCTGTGGAGAGTTAGGTTAGTTGTCTGTCAGCCATGTACCCAGGGCAGCTGTGATCTTTCTCGAAGCTGTTTTCCTAACTGTGTGGGGCAGGACACTGTAGTTTTACCCAGCTTTGGTGAGTGAGCATACACCCCTGGGCCGGGTATGGGGAGGCACTGATGGGGATCCAGGCTCTGATGATGAACGGGAGGGTGAGGAGGGATCCAGGTTTAGATGACAGGCAGGGAGGTGTGGAGGTAAGGATCTGGACTTTGGCTGTAGGAGAGGAAGCAGAGACAGAAGGATCTAGGCTGAGTATAGGCAGGTAGGGATCCAGGCTCTGACTGTAGATGAGGAGGTAGGGAAGGATGGATCTGGGTTCTGACTATGATATGGAAGCTGTGGGTCACACTGCCTGTGGGCCCTTCCCCACTTTGGAGCCCTTATGTCCCTCCACTTCAGAGACAGCTGAACACGCTTGCTTCCCGCATTCCCCAGTTGGGTCTCACCCCTCTCTTGGTGTTATGGAGTGGGCCGTCCAAAGCCAGGGATCCTTGCCTCCCTTTAGTGCTGCAACAGAGGGACTACCCTTGGGACTCTCTCCTACCTTCCTTCCCTGCCAGTTACAGGGCCCCCTAAAGACAATTCCTTGATTCTTTTTGGCCCTACTGCAATTCTAATGTTACAGGCATAACTAACCTGCCCCCCAACTCTGCTGACAACAGCTATCCTCTCCCCAGTGCAGACCTTAAAAGAGCCCATTCAGTACATAACGTGTAAGAGACAGTCAGATGCCACTTCAAGCAGTTGACAACCTTCACTGAGGTACTTGCTGTGGCCGAATCCCTATTTCTCACATGAGAATAGGCAAATATACCCTTGATGGTTATGGTAGAGGCTGGATTAATACTAAAGAATGCTTGAGGACTGGAGAGATGGCTCAGTGCAAGCATGAGGACCCGAGTTCAGATCCCCAGCATCCATGTAAAGCTGGAACAATGGGGGACATCTGTATCCCAGTGTGGATAGGTGGACACAGGAGCACCTTGAGGGTTCACCAGCTAGCCAGCCTAGCTGAAATGGCAAGCTCTAGCTTCAGAGAGAGACCTTATCTCAAAAAAGCCAGGTAGAGGGTGGCAAGGTGGCTCAGTGAGTAAAGGCAGCTGCTGCCAACCTGACCACCTGAGTCTGATCCTCAAAGACATGGTGGGAAGGGAGATGCCCACAGCCAACCTCTGTAACAAGTTATCCACATGCACACCACCATGGCATGGGAGTGAGCACACACGTGGGTACGGCTGATCAGGTTGGCCTGCAGTAAGCCCAAGGATTTGTTTCCACCTGTGTTGTAAGAGCTTCCTCAGAGATTCAACATTCCCTCCTTCAGGAAGCTCCTTAGGCAGAAAGGCAAACAATTGAAAATAACTTCAGGAAGTCCCTGAAACTGACCAGATTCACTATCTCCCCCCCCCCCCCAGTAAGCAATAAAAGCTGAATTCCTCTCTGAAGAGCAAACCCAAGCTGCAAAGCCGACTCTTAGACATTTAATGAAACTCTCAGACAAAAATACCTGCCTGGACAGAGGTTAAGACCGATAAATACTCCTGGAAAGGACACTTTCCCACCTGTTGAGCTGCCTGCAGGCTGTGCAGTGTGCTCCAGGTTCCCAGCTTTGAGAGTATCACCCATGCGGGGCTTTGGTGATGCAGCTGTCTTGAATCATTTCTGCTCCTGTAAGTAACCCTTCAACCATATTTTTCTGTAAATAACTCCAATAACTCATTGATTCTCCAAGTTGTACTTCGGTGGTATCCGTATTTGGTCTGTCGTGGGTTCCCTATCTGCCGTGAGTAGACACGTGTGTTGCATCGCGTAGGAAGAGTTTATCACACAACACCACCTCCCCAGTGCTGGGACTATACATGTACACCCTTTCATCTGGGGGTTCTGGGGATGGAGCTCAGGTCCTCAGGCTAAGTGGACTCCCCAGCCGTCTATCAGCCCCTCCTTATCAGAGATCCTCCCTCCTCAGTCACGGTCCTAAGCCAGGCTTATAAGACAGACCCCTGAACTGTCTCGACAGTCTCGTCCTGCCAAGCTGCACCATCTGTCCACTAGAATGACAGTCTTCAATAAACAGCAGGCTGCCCAGCTAGCTGCCTGCTGCCTCTCTATTGTCTTCAGAAGGGCCTAACGCTGGCATTCAATGCCCACGCCAGCTCAGTCTCCACTTGGTCTCCTAACTGCATCCCTTGACTTTTTCACCACCAATAGTCCCCACAGTCTTGTCTCCCTGAGTGGATGGTCTTTTTGCATGTCAAGATCCCCTCATGGGCCTCCCTGAGAGACCTTCTGAGCATATGTTTTGAATCCCTGGATGTGTTGCCTGCCTTTCTTCTGGCCTCAGAGTGGGCACTGTGTATTCCTAGCACTTCCTGGTCATGTGACTTCAGGCAGAAACACAAACCTCTCTGTGTCCCAATTTTAATTTGGAGATACAACTAGTATCTCCAACAAAGTGTTCAGAATCCTCAGTGTTGGAAAAGGTCGCCTTAGTCTTCTGTTTGAAACGGGTCTCAGGTAGCTCAGGCTGGCCTTGAACTCAGGATATAGCACAAGGTTGCCTTGCATATCTTTCTTCTTTGTTTCTTGGAATGCTCCTAGTGGGATTCTGGGCCACCTCTAGGTGCCCACTTTTCTACTGAGTCTTTGACCACAGCCATGTTCTGTGTACAGCTGGAGGCCAGGGCTGTTTTCACTGGCTGACACATGTGTATAGCCAGTTATCTAGGGACAGTGGCTAGGATTCCCTTGAGAGCTAGTGTGTCTTTCCCCTCCTTGCAGCAGGAGAGCTCAGGGAAGCTAGGGCAGGTTGCCCTATCCCTCCTCCTCTGCCTGTTCCCGCTCCTCTATGGGTTCCTTTTGGTGCATTCTACCAGCTTCAGACTGAAAAACAAAAAAACAAAAAACAAAACAAAACAAAAACCGCATCCTGGCATGGGGTCGGGTGGGGCAAATACTCATCTGGTAAAGTGTTTGCCCGAATTCAGTCAGATCACCAGCACCCATTAAAAAAAAAAAAAAAAAAAAAAACTCAACACATCAGTGTGCATCTGTAACTCCAGCACTGGAGTTGGAGGGGGCAATGTGGAGATGGGAGGATTTCTAGATCTCACTGGTTAGCTAGTCTAGGCAAACCAGTGAACTCCAGATTCAGTGGGAGACCCTGCCTCAAAAAGTACAGTGGAGGGCAACAGAGGAACCCATCTGCTATCTACCTCTGGCCCCCACATACATGTATGTGTACTTGCACACATACATGTACACAAACATACACACACACAAAACTACACCTGAACGTGGTATAGCTGGACTTTATTATTCCATAAACAATATTGTGTAACTACTGACGTAGAATATAAATTACCTTAAATGTAAGTCACCTATGGAGGATTTTGTTTGTTTGAACTCACTACACAGCTGAGGAGGAGCTTGGACTTCTAACCTTCCATTATCTCCTAAGCGCTGGGTTTACAGGTATGTGTTACCATGTCTGGTTTATGTGGTGTGGGGATCAAACCTAGGGCTTCATGAATGCTAGTCAAGTACTCTACCAACCAATACATCCTTAGCTCCTAAGTAGGATTTAAAGTCTACTAGACAAGCTGAGATATGGTAGCATGTACCTGTAGTCTTAGATACCGTCGAGGCTGAGGCAGGTGAACTGCTTGAGCCCAGGAGTTCCAAGCCAGCCTGGATAAAACATACACACACACACACACACACACACGTATGTGTGTATCTATGTATATATATATATATATATGTAAACACACAAATGGAGATAATTTAGTAGGTAAAGGTGCTTGCTGGGGAAGCCTGACAACTCAGGTTTGATCCCTAGAACCCATAGAAAAAGCTAGATACAGTGGCAAGCACCAATAATCTCAGCTCTCCTACTTCCGATGGGAGGAGACGACAGGAGAATCATCTGGAAGCTCTCAAACCTGCTAGCCTGAATTAGCTGCACAGTGCCAGATGCAGCCTTAACAAGGTGGAGTTGAGAAGTGACTCTCAAAATCTGTCCTCTGACCTCCATGCACAATGTGCTCCTGAAATGCACATGTGCCCCCCTCACTATAACAACGCAACAACAAACATACATACCACAGAAAAAGCAAGCTCCTTGTTTCAAGAAATTGAGGCTGAGGACCCACTAGAGATAGCAGGCAAACACAGTACTAGGAGAAACATCCAGGTCACAGGCGGGCCTTGCTGAGGGCACCCACCCGTTGGCCAGCGCGTCTTACCTGAAGCAGTCTGCATGCCAGTCAGCGTTCAGGGCCTGGAGGTACTGGCCGTCATAGATCTTCTGGCCACAGCTCGCACACACAGGCAACTCGCTTCCTGCTTGGGGTAGAAACCAAGTCAGGAGCCATTTTTAAGAGGGTAGTTTGCAGGAGGTCTAGCCTGCCCAGCTCACTGCAGTTAGTCTTAGTGCTCACACACTGAACCTCGCTCTACAGGACGACTGCCCGGTGAGAGGATAAAGGATGGCAATCTCAGAGTCCTGCTTGGACACTAAGTCGCCAAGCCTCTCTGGACCCTTCTGGAACATGTAGAGGAGAACAGAGGTGCTCCCTTCAGAGACAGCAAGTGTAAACGGGGAGAAAGAAGACAGAATTTAGAAACAAGGTGGAGGGTGGCACTTTCGTGACAGCCTCTTCTGCCCGCCTGCCCAGGAAGAAGTGTGGAAAGGGGCAAGGACTGGCAGAGCCTGGCTGGTCCATCTCAGATTAGAAGTAGCAGGGGAGGAAACCCAAAGGTGGTAGCTTTGGTTGAACTGTGATGAGGGGCCAGGACTGCGAAGCCAGACACTCTGGCAGTTCTTTAAGGCAGCCACTATACATGCTTAGTCATCCCCGGGACCTTGCACCCCTGGAGCTGGTGGGCCCTGCAAAATAGCCTTGGCCTGTTCCCCTTCATTCTACAGACTCCGAAATCTCAGCTGCAGAGAGGGGACCTCTCCTTAGGACACAGAGCCAGGCTCCGAAGCCTTCACCTCTTCAAGCACCCAAAGTAGTGTAAGTGCCCGTGGGCCTATGCCCCCAACAGGGCTTCAGGGATGTGTGGGAGTGGGAGGCAGAACAGGGCTGGAGAGACCAGAACCTGTCTTTGACCAGATGACCCTACTGTGTGGGCTTTGAGAAAGAAACCTAGGGGAGATCCCAGACTGATCCAGGCTGAGGGAATCTCAGAGGCCTCTGAACCCCAACTGTAGTGCGGCTCTAAGCCTGGAGCCCTCTCAGTGAGGCAGGACTCTAGCTAAGACTGATCAAATGAATACTAGAACACTAGCATTGGTGCAGGAGAAACGGGAGGTCACGGTATGCCAGAACTGGCGGTGGTAGAGACCTCTGCAGCATTCTGTCATCGGATCCAGTGTGTCTACCTTTCCAGTGCTTTTTTATTTTTTTATTTTTGCCCAGTCCCCCAATTCATCTAGTCCCGAACTGCAATGGTGGGGAAACTGAGGCTCCGGGTGTTAGTGACTGGTTCAAGGTCAGTGAGTCCCGCAAACGCGAGTCTGCATCTCAGGTCCGTGGTTGCTGTCGTTTGGCTCTCCCGGATCAGACTGGATCAAAAGGTGCCCCCCCCCCTCCACCGAAGAGCGAGGACCAGGGTGGGACAGAGAACTAGGGACTAAGGTAGGTGCTGGATGAACAGTAACCTGGGAGATGGGTGAAGACAGGATAGGGTAGGAGAAGAGGAGCTTCCTCCATCAGCAAGACAGCAGCTCATCCCGGGGCCAAGGAAGAGAGAAAGAGGGTGGGAGGGTGACAGAGAATGGCCTGCGGGCTCCGATAGGACAGGCACGTCCCTAGGAGGCAGGGGCGCGGCCTTGCAGCTCCTCGGGCCCCTCCGATACTCCCGGCTCCCCTCCCCCGACCCCCAGCCCCGCGCACCTTCCTCTCCCATACGTTCTTCCCTCCAGGTGCAACAAAGTAGCGTCAACCTCATGCACTCGGCGGGGGGCGGGGACCGCCGGCAACCGGCGGGGCACTGGAGAGCTGGGGCCGGGCCCGCGAGCTCGCCCGCCGCCGGCCCGGGAAGGCGGGAGGCGGGGAGCGCGGGGCCGGAGCCGAGCGCTCCGCTCCGGGCTCGGCGATGCCGCCGCGCTGCACTCCCACGCCCGGCTAGGGGACACCGGCTCCGCGCTGCCGCCGCCTGAGGAGCGCGGAGGGGCGGGCCGGGGCGGGCCTGCGAGCTGCGGCAGGGGCGGGGCGCGTGCGACGCGGCCGGCTGGAACTGCCCCTGCGCGGCTCCGCCTCCGGGATAGCCGCTCCCCTTAGAGACAAACCCGCCCCTCGCAGGCTGACAAGGGGCCTGCGGGCACTGCGGGTTGAAACTGTCATTGCGAGGCTCCGCCCCTCACCGCGATAACCACGCCCCTCAACGCCCACCCCGCCCAGAAGTAGTAACCACTTCTCAGCTGCAGCCACGCCCTCTGCAGGCTGGCAAGGGGCCTGCTCGCCGCGGCATTGGCGGGATTATCCCTGCTCGGCACCGCCCCTCCACGGAGGAAGCCCCGCCCCCTCAATGACAACCACGCCCTCTAAGGATCGGCGGGGCCTATAAGCCCCGGAAAGGGTGGAGCTGAATTGTGAATCTGCTTTTGCGTCGCTCCGCCTCCTCATCGGAGGCCACGCCCCTCACGGCGGTAGTTTCTTCCTCTGCCGCACAGCTGGGGCTGCAGAGCCTGCACTCCCACGCCCACCATAAAACCCGCCTCTAACCCGCCTCTTTCTCCCCCTCCTTTTCTGCCTTTCATTCATTATCAGCTTTACTAGGGTGCGCCCCAGGAGTGCTCAGCGGGTTTCCTTGGAAAAGGCGGCTCTCTTCACAATCTTCCGGGAGCCTCTCTGGTCCACCCCACTGGAGTTAATAGCCTGGGACGGATGGTGGCCTTGCGGACCCTGAGGATGCTGCTGGTCGGGAGAAGATGGGGAGTCAGTTGGGTCAGAGGCAGGGTAGAAAAGATAGAAATGTAATATATAGCTTAGCTGGTAGAGTGTTTGCCTAGTATGTATGCTCCAAGCCTTGGCTTTTATCTTCTGCGCCACGTATATCCAGCATAGGGTGCACACCTATAATCAATCCCAGGACTTGCCTCCTATTCCAGATTCTGATTGAAACCTTTCACCAGCGGAGAATCAAGAATTCCAACACAATTAAGACCATTTGCTTAAAGGCTTATCAAAGGGTTTCTGTACCCCGATATTAAGTCTCTCCGACGATGCAATAAATCAGATCAGGGCAAATTAATAAAACCAGGTTTAATCTGAGCAAAGCATATCCCTGCCAACACACTGGTTGTAAACATACGATATTATCCGAGTCTCTCCAGACTCCCCCTTTACATGTTCTAAACCCCTTGTACAGCCCTAGTAGCACCTGATTTTACATTATCACATTAAAATTGTATCCAAGGCAGCTGGAGAACCAATCTATGATTTCACTTATTAAAAAGAAAAGTCTGGGGCTGAAGAGATGGCTCAGTGGTTAAGAACACCAGCTGCTTTTCCAGAGGACCTGAGTTCAATTCCCAGCAACAGTGGCATGGTGGTTCATATAGTTGGATCTAATGCCCTCTTCTGACCTGCAGGCGTACATGCAGATAGAGCACTCATACATTAAATAAATCTTTAAAAAAAAGTCTGGCAGGGTTTGGTGGTGCAGGCCTTTTTGATCCCTTGAGTGGCACAGGTGGATAGATGGCCATGAATTGGAGGCCAGTCTAGTCTTCATCGGGAGTTCCAGGACAGCCCAGGGTTACATAGAGACACCCTGTCTCAAAAACAGAAGAAACAAACAGTCTGGCTGATGAGGCATTCCTACAATCCCAACATTTGTGAGTTAGAGAATCAAGCCTTCAAGGACTCCTTCAGCGACATAACAAGTTTGAGTCAACCTGGGCCATAAGAAACCGTGTCTCAAGAAACTACAAATAAAAGAGAAAATGAAGAAATTTTCTTAGCTGCTCTTTGGTATATAATGGGAGACCCCAAGCGCTACACATTCCCACTGCTAAGACAATTGCCACCACCTGAGAAGCCCCTTGAAGATGGCTGCACTCCTTATGTCTTTAATCCTCACCAGAGCGGCTCTCTTTCTATCAACCCTTGTCTTAGTTAGGTTCACTATTGCTGTAATGAAACCAAAAGCAAATTAGGAGAAAAGGGTTTATTTGGCTTACACTTCCCCATCACTGTTCATTATTGGAGGAAATCAGGGCAGGAACTCAAGCAGGGCAGGAACCTGGAGGCAGGAGCTGATGCAGAGGCCATGGATGGGTGCTGCTTACTGACTTGCTCCCCATGACTTGCTCAGCCTTCTTCCTTCCTTCCTCCCTCCCTCTCTCCATCTCTCCCTCCCTCCTTCCTCCCTTTCTCTCTTTCTTCTTCTTTTTTTTCAGAGACAGGATTTCTCTGTAGCTTTGGAGCCTCTCCTCGAACCCACTCTGTAGACCAGGCTGGCCTCGAACTCACATAGATCTGTCTCTGCCTCCTGAGTGCTAGGATTAAAGGCGTGTGTCACCACTGTCCAACTCAGCCTTCTTTTTTATAGAACCCAGGAACTCACCCTCTGAAGAGATGTGGAAAATTTTAGAATGCTAGACTAAGGCAGGGGCAACTCTGTCTCCTAGTGACGTGTCCCAAGGAGGCATGAGGGTGTAAGAGGCAGGACAGCCACCTTTGAGAGGGGCTGAAGCAGAGAAGGCTCAGCCAGAAAAGTGAATGCTGTAAATACCAGGGCCCGATCGGATCTCCAGGACTCACCTGGGGCTTGCTGGCCAGCCAGTTTAGCGAAATTGATGAACTCTAGGTTCAATGAGAGCCCCTGCTGCAAAAACAAACGAGTAACTAACTAATAAATAAATAAATTAAAATTTAAAAAGTGGAGACGAAGACACCTGACATCAACCTCTGACCTGTGTGCATGCGTGTGCACACGAACACACAGACACACACACACACATGCATACCCACACTGGCCTTTGGTTTGTGTGTCACTTTCCTGCAGGGTGTGATATTAGATCCTAATGTCAGGAGAGGTAGCTTAGTGCTTAAGACTGCTACTCTTGCAGAGGACTGCAGTTTGGTTCCCAGCACCCAAAATAGGTGATGCCCAACAGCCTAAATCAACTTCAGGGGATCTGACATCCTCTTCTGGTCTCCAGGGGCACCTGAGTGCACATGCCCACAAATATGGACACACAGGTGGTGTGGGAGTTCCTTCTGTCTATGTGTTGCTTTTATTGGTTAATAAATAAAGGAATTGCTTTGGGCCTATAGCAAAGCTATAGGGGAACAAAGCTAGGCTGTATGCTGGGAGGAAGAAGGATGGAGTCAGAGAGACACCATGGAGCCACTGCCAGAGTAAGACATGCTGGAACTTTGCCAGTAAGCCACTGCCACATGGTGATACACAGATGAATAGAGATGGGTTAAATTAATATGTAAGAGTTAGCCAATAAGAAGCAAGAGCTAATGGCCCAAGCAGTGATTTAATTAATATAGTTTCTGTGTGATTATTTTGGTTCTTGGCAGCCAGGACGAACAAACAGCCTCCCTGCAACACACAGTAATGCACACAACAACAACAAATCATGCCCTTGCAGTACACAAAAAGTATACTTTTTGTGGGGTAGCAATTTGTGTAATTAAAAAATGATTCTGTTATGATGAAATATTTATTTATTATTGTGGATATGTATGCATGGTGCGACTACATGGTGCAACCGCATGCATGTGGAGGTCAGAGGACAACCTTAAAATCAGGTCTTGTCTTCCACCTTTTTATGTGGGTCCCGAGGATTGAACTCAGGTTGCTGGGCTTGAAATCAAACACCCTTTTCTCACCCAAACCTCTCACTGGCCCTGTTTTATTTTATTGAGACAGAGTCTCATGTATCCCAGGCTGGGCTCAAACTTGTTGTATAACTGAGGGTGATCTTGAGCTTCTGATCCTGTGGCCTCTGCCTCCTGACTGTCAGGATTCTGGGTGTGGCCCACCTGTGTCCCGCCACTGTAAATCTTTCCTTGTGGCCTTGTCTAGTTTGGGTATTAGGGCAATGCCAGCTTCTCCAAATGGGTTTAGAGATATTCCCTCTTCTTTAATTTTATTTTGGAAGAGCCTCAGGCGTATGTGTGTTAAAGTCTTCACATGTTTGGCAGAGTTCTCCATTGAAGCCATCTGCGCCTGGGCTTTTCTTGGTTGGACTCTTTGGGGCTGACTCAATTCCTTACTCACCATTGATTTGTTCAGATTGCCTGTACTTCTTAGTAGGTTGTGTGTTTGTAGAGATGCACTTATGTTATCTAGATTTTTCCCATTTGTTGGCCTACAGTTTTTCTGCTTCCTTACAACAAATGTTCTCCTTCTATGCTCTTCTTCTTCCATGGCTGGTCACATTAGAGATGAAACTCGGGGCCCTGAGAAAGCTAGGAGTATTAGTTTTTTTTTTTTTTTTTTTTTTTGCTGTGCTTGACTGCCTGTCAGGAGCAATCTAAGCAGGGAAGGATGTCTTTTGGCTCGTGGTTTGTGGGGATACGGTTCATTCATGACGGGGAAGGCATGGTGGCTGGAATATAAGGAAGCTGGTCACACGATGACAATCGACAGAAAACAGATAGGAGACTGGAAGCAGGGCCAGGGTATAGCCCCTGAGACCGTCCTCTAGTGGCGTGTGCCTACCAGCTAGGCCCCAGTTCTCAGAGATTCTACAACCACCCAAAATAGTGCTGCCACCGGGGATCAGGTGTGCAAACACCTGAGCCTTCTTGCCTCCCACAGATCATTACTCTGTTTGCCGTGACGGTTGCAGAGACCTCCCCCAAAAGCCCACTCTGACAAGGGTGGTGATGCATAAACATTGCACCCCTGGGACTCCCTGCACAACCTTGGTGGACCAGGACACAGAAAGTGGCTGCTAAAAAACTTGCCTCCAGTCACCAAATTACTCTAGCAACATTCCCCCTCTTAAGAAGTACGACAGCCTTCTGAGTCTGCCACCAGCTGAAGACCAAGTGTTGAAACTCATGAGCTTATGGGAGACATTTTACATCGGAAGCATAGCACTCTGGGAGTATTATTTTCCTTTCTTTGAACATTTCGTTACATTTATTTAGCCATGTGTTGTGTGTGTGCTCGCATGACATGACAGACCAAGTGTATGAAGGTCAGAGAACAACTTGGTGGGGATCAATTCT